GGTTGTGTGAGTGAGACAGCTGCTCATTCTGCAGAAACATCTCAGTACTGGAGAAGGGGTGAGGGAAAGAGCCAAGCCCTGCACTCAGGATCCCTTTGAGCTCCTTCTCCTGAGGCTCTCTATGTGGCTCTCCATAGACATTTGTCTTGTGAACTTGGTTCTGTAAAGGGCTCTCTAGGTTGCTGAGTCTGGTCCAGACAGTGTCAGGGATTCTTAGTGAAGGTGCTCACGCTATCCCTCCGAGGAGATTCAGCACAGCTCAGGTGTCCTGCAGTACCAGTTCAGCCCCCCCTTGTTCTATTCAGGGGCAGATTGGCCCACAGTGAGTGGTGGTTGTGTCTGATTAGGGTGTGAATATATTTGCTGTAGTCGAAATACCACCAGAAAACAATGCAAAAGACCTAGTCAGGAGGTGCACTGAAGTCCTTGCTGAGCAGACAGCTAGCTGTAGGTTGAGCTTTTCCCAGTATTTTAGAGAAGTATAATGCATTAAAATTTCATAGCTTTCTTGTTTCTCCTCTCTTTTCATACACAAGCTCCTTTCTCAAGAAGCAGTAGTCTCTGAACTTGCAACCGCACTATTAGTTTCTATTCATTCTCCTTTAGCATTTAAATTCAGCTGTTCTTGAACTACGTATGGCAGACAGAGGACTTCCATCCTAACTGAATGTTTGCTTTCTACTTACTTGTGTACATGGAATTTCTTCTTTAAAAGTAGTAATACCTGGAAACTTCAGCTTGAAATCAGAACCAGAAATAGATTTTGTCATATACTGGGAAAGTTCCCACAAACCACCTTTGTTATGCATGGGTTTGCAACCTCATTTGCCTACTCTTTCCTTGTGTGGTAGGCTTTGACTCCTTGCAGATCTGAAATGAGTGGATTATGCAGAGAGACTTGTATAACCATTACTGATGCAGCACCAAGCTTTTAGGGCCATTATGGTTGCATCATTTACTGAATATGCAAGGTAGTAATTTTTAGTGTATTTTTTACAGTAAGGTGAGCTGACTTGGTGTATCTATTTGACCAGACTTGTTTGTGTTTGTTTTCACTTCATTCTTCAAGCAGAAATGAAGTTTTTCAGTACAGCATTATGGTATTATTTTAGAGTAATAATCTTTTTTTTACAGCAAGTAAGAGTGGGGATAGATACAAAGGGCTATGTCAATATTTCTAAATTTTATCAGCGCTAGGGTCCCTTTCTTTGTCCTGAGGATAGGGGTGCCTGGCTCTATGTGGGCCACAGCTGAAGAAAAGTCCTAAAATCCGAAGTTCCCCAAGGGTGAGCAGTACAGAAGACAGCAAAGAGGAGAAGCAAGATACTAGAGAGAGGAGAGAGGCTGTAATATCGGCACCAGTGTTTGCTGCAGGCTGCAGTGGTGAGGCTGCTGAAGGCGTGGGGCATTTGTTTGGGTTTGTTTGTAAGTTTTCAAGTCTTGTGCTGTAGAGTAAGACCAGGAATTGAAAAGATGTGCAAGGGTCTTAAACTGACATAACTTACTGCAGAATGTGTGCTAAGATATGGGCTTCCCATAGGGTATTGCTAAGTATGAGTATGTTTCTGGTACTATTTTAGGCTTAGTAGGACTGGATTGACTTTTGCCTGATTTATGTTTCACTATTTGGACAATTCTCCACTTTTACTTTCAATTCTCTCCTGATCTGTAATTTCAAGCTGCTGGGGTTGATCATGTCATGTTACTCTGGGCAGCAGCTATGAAAAATTATGACCCTTCTCATGAGCATCAAAGGAAACAGTAATGAAAAGTATCTCAAACAAGTACTAGAAAAGCAGAAAATAAAGCTTAGACTTGGTGACTGCAAGGTGCTGTATCTTCTGTATGAATTTCGGCTGAGTGGACACTCAGCATGTGTGACTCTCTTCTTTCCACAAATAGTGGATGAGGAAAGGAAGTGTAAGACTTCCCACCCTACAAACAAATGCCAGTATTTGGGAACTGTTTTGTATTCCCATTGCTTTTTTCAGGAGCCAAACAAGGCTTCCTCAAAAAGCTGTCAGCAGCAGCAAAGGCACCAGTGTCATTCATCTGGAGACTAAAAGGTACAGCACTGTTTTCTGTTACAGCAGACATTTTTTTCTGTCAGTTTTGAAGTTGCAAAAGGATTTTTTAAATGAAAAAAAATTGTACTGTTGTTTCAGAATGTGTGACTTGAGGATTTAATTACATTCTGACATAAAGAATGAAAAATAACACAGTAATGACACACAGGAAGCAAGTTCTGGCAAGATGGGGTCTTCCGTAGGGTGTTGTCTTGTGGTCTGTTCACACTAGAGTGCTGTTTGAGTCACAAACTCTGTTTAAACTGTAGATAATATTTTAATACACAGTGAGTTTGTCACCTAGCTGCAAAAGAAATTTAAAGCTTCAATATGACAAGCTTTGGGTGAACTCATTTATTATACATTTTATTTTTTAAGGCTACGAAAAAGAACTTGTGGAATAATGTATGTGTTATGTCTGGTACCTTTTTTTGTAGAAAGTGATATATTCTTCTAAATGTGTATAGTATTCTTAAATTCTCTTTTAATTCTCTTAAATTCACTTTTCTACAAGAACTATGTGCAGTATTTCTTCTAACAGCAGCATCTGTCACGCAGACACCACACCCCTTTCATACATATATCCCCATTTGTTATTTCAGTTATTATGGTTACTGTGATGAGTTGGATTTTAGATACTGTTTTACCTTCTTGATGTCACTAGATAAAAGATTTATTGTACCCTCAGTAGGGGCTGCAGGTTATAAAACTTTTATCTCTGCTAATGGAACTCAGAAAATGCTTTGTGCAGATACAGAAGGCTGTTACTAATGTTGTGTAGCTAATAGTTCAGCTTTGAAATACCAGTTGGACCGGAGAAATAAGATGTTTTAAAAAAAAAAAAAAGAATTTCAGGTTTATGGTGCATTTTATAGAGAATAACTTGGAAATTCTTGCTTTGCTTGATGCTGTTCACAGATGACAGCTTTGGAAACTTCATATAGAAATGTGCTTTCTATGATTGAGTGCCCATGTCTGATATACTGAAAACCTAAATAAGATCTACAGTATTTCCTGCTTCTGTACAGTGCTGTGGGAAGGTGGAGGTTGATACTGCACTGGGATGTAGAAGAGGGCAGTGAATGTAGGAGAGCTGAAAGAGAGGAGGAGAGGTAGAGTTTTTTTATGAGGCAAAGAGTTTGTCCAAAGCCATCACCTATCCCTGATGCCTGTTCAGTGTAGATCCCATTAGATTTGCAGATGACATCAAACTGGGAGAGCAGTGAACATGCTTGAAGGCAGGGCTGCTGTTCACAGGGCCCCAGATAGGAACATTAGGAAGTCCAGCAAGGGCAAATACCTGTTCTTGTCCTGGAAAAGAGGAATTGCTGTCATGCAGAGTGGGACCTGATAGGTTTGGGATCAACTCTGCTGAAAAGGACCCTTGGGTCCTGGTGGGCAGCAAGCTAAACGTAGGCCAGTCTTGTACCCTGGCATCAAATGTAGCCTGGGCTGCATTAATAGCCTGCAGACTGAGGAAAGTGATAATTCTCCTTTACCTGGCACTCATTAGTCCACATCCAGAATACAGCATCCCATTTTGCGGATGGGATGAGGATTTTACGTAAAGGAAAAATATTGATAAACTGAAGCAAGCTCTGTGCCTGAGGAAGCTGAAGCACATGCACCCTGAGGAGATGCTGAGAGAGGTGTGGGCTTAACTCAGCCTGAAGAAATGGTTTTGGGGAGACCTTCCGATACACACAAGAATATTTTCCAGGAGACAGAGCCAGGCCCTTCCAGTGGTGCCTGGTGGGAAGGACAGGAGAGAGCAGATCAAACTGGAAAAGAAAGTTTCAGGCTGGCTATAAGGAAAAATTTTGTCACTATAAGGTCAGTCAAGCAGTGAGCTTGTGCAGTCTCTATCCTTGGAGGTTTTCAAGATCCAGCTGAGCAAACAGCCTTAAACAACCTGGTCTGACCCCACAGGTGACCCAAGTTTGAGCTGGGGATTGGAGCAGGAACCTTCTGAGGTCCCACCCAGCCTGAGTAGCTCTGTGGCTCTAGGATAAAGCTTGGAGCCCAAACTTAGCTTATTTTTTCCTTGCTTTTTGGGACGTGGTTGTAAACAAATGGTTTAGCCTCTGTAATGTGTCATTTTCCTGTCTATAGAGGTAATGATGTTTGTCTACTTCAGTGGTGTTTCAAGATAAGATATATGTAAGGTGATGATATTTTAGATGCTTTGTCAGAGTGGGTATAGACAACAAAACAGTTAGGCCTTTAAAGTCTAAGCAGCTGATGAGGTATTGTGAATCTTCTCAAGCACTAACTGTGAAGTCCTGGAAAGCTGTTTTCTGTGGATTAACTTTCATGAAACCCCACCATATATATTTTCTCCATGTAGTGCCAAAGAAGTCGATCACCTTAAAAGGTAGTCAGCAGCAAAATGTGTTAGTGTTAGCAACAGCTCTGACAGCAGGCTCTCTATATGCTTCTGCCAATTATGGTAACATTTGTCATATTTGCCTAGTTATTATTTTTCTTCCTGCCATGGTTGTTATTTCTGTGGGCTTCTCAATGGAGTGGAAACAGACTTAGCTGCCTCTACATCAGGAGCACTGCAGCGGTTCTGCCCTGTGCGTCAGATGTCCTGCTGATTGTTGGATAAACTAAGAAGTCTTTTTCCCCCCCCTCACACCTTTCAGCTTTGGTCATCTTTACTAAGAGATCTGTAAAGCTGTCCTACAATTTTCACACATGAATAAGGAATTATTCTAAAACTAAAAACTATAGTCTCCATTGGAAAAGTTACTTAAAATTGCTTTCTTTTTGTGGCATTTTGTAAGAGTCTTTGAGGTAGCATTAGAGTAGGCAGAGGTGTATACACAGAAGTTTTAAGAAGTCTTGGGAGCTCGAGATTTAGAATATTCTTTAATACCTTATTTTTAACCCCTTCTTCTCTTTTTTCTCCTCTATGTCCACCTTCTGCAGGAAATAAAGAAGGACATGAAGAAAGAAAACACTGCCAACAAACCACCAGAGAAGCCTATAAATGAAGTTTCCAATGGAAGCCCTTTACTGTTGTCTGAGACAATTATTAGAACCAACAGAAAAGGTATAGTATGTAAGATGCTTAAATGCAGATTAAATTCAGACCTTTCAAAGAACAAAATGTAAACCTTTCTTGTTTCTAGAAATAAAGCTGGTGTCTGTTTAACTGAAAAGGCATAGCAGAAATAATAATAACAACAATAATGAAAAAAGTTGTCCTCTTAGACTGGCGTGTGGATGCATGTATTATGTCTAATATTTCTGCATGAATTTGCACAGACATCCCTTTCTTCTTTAAAAAATCCTTTCTTGATACATTTAATTAAAGAAAGCTGTATGAGGAGATCACTGAAGCTTATTAAAGTAGGGAACTGACAGCTTGCATATATGGTGGGTTTTGCACAGTGATGTCAGTCCACATTCATATATTCCTACTCTGTCTGGGACAGAGAACGTTAAAAAAAATTTAAAAGAAGTGGAAAACATAATGCATTACTTTCCTGGGAAGTATCTTTCACTATCTTCTGTTTCAGACTGGAATGCATGCTCTTCATGTCTGGCTTGATTCCCAATGCAGATTCCTATATAGGGTTTTGGGTTGCTAAAGTGAAAGCCTCCAAATCTTCTCTCTCATTCTCTGTCCTGCTCCCAGTCCTGTTCTCAGAAATATCAGAACTAAGCAAAAAATTGGCAGTATTAAAGCTGGATTTTTCTTTAGGTTATGTTTATGCTCCTGTTTGTTTGTAGGAGGACAATTGTCTCTGTGCAAGAGACGTGCTGTAATTTTTCCTGGAGAATTCACCGGACAGTTTGTTGCTTGCTGTCTTATACAGAATAATCTGCTGTCATTAATCGTTGTTGTAATGTAATTCTTATTTTGGCATGTCTTTTATACGGTTAGGACTATGCATGTGGAAATTTCTTCTTCTGTATTATCAGCAAATATTGTATTTGAGCTGCAGTTTGAATAGAGGTCTTAAGATTTACAACTGCAAGTGAAGAAGATTTAATAATATCTGCAAAATGTATGACTTCCTTCAAAATGTGAGGGGGAGTAATCTCCACCTCTTTTGCAAGGATTGATGTCCTCTGAAAGAAAAAATTGGAAATAAATCTCAGAAAGCTTTGTCTTTTGAGCTTGCAATGTCATCATGAATCTGTAGACATGTCCAACATTTCTGCTTTGGGTCACTGGTTTTTTAAGCAACAGCAGAATTAAATTACCAAGAATTATTCTTTTTCATGGCTGCTATACAGAAACATATGAGTAGCTGAGAAATTATCTAGGGACCAAGTTTGTTCCATATTGCTTCAGCTGCTATTTGGAGAAGGCTAATAGCTGTGGCAGATGTGGAGATTCAGTTCAGTCACAAGGGGATAACACTCCAAATATGATACTTAGAGCACAAGTTTTCTCCTCCTCTTTCTTCCCTCTGGCTCAGAAGCTTGAAAGGATTCAGGAGATAAAGAAGTTTTCTTTTTGTGTCTCTGGCTGGAGAATCCAAAACCTAGCATTTATTGAAAGGAGAAAAGCAAAGACTGACACGAAGATCCGTAGGTTGAGGAAGGGGTTAGATCTGGAAGTAGCAGATTTCATATTAGGATGTTACTGTGTTAGATTTCATTGGTGGGAATTGCACTTCTCGTGGCTACCTCTGCATCATGTCAGGGTTGGTGCACTCTTTGTTTTGGCTGTTTCTCCACAGCTGTTCCCACTGCTGCAGAGCAAGCAGCTGCAGGATGCTGTGCTCAAGCAGTACAGCTAAGGATGCACAGAGCATAACAAGGCCAAGAGAGCTTCCCCTCGTTTTTCCTGGGATCACTTTGAGCACAGTGCCAAAGTAGCCCTTGTTTAGGTGAGGATAGCTGGGCAAGCAATTACTGTTGTGTTCAGTAAGAGTTTTTAAAGATCTGTGAGGCAGATCTCCTTGTGGAAACTGTTGCAATATTTTACTGAAAAAGGAACCCTAAATGCTATTGGCATTATTTTCTTGAAGTGTTCTTGTCCTGACATTTTTACTAAACCTTAACTCAGTCTGTTTACTGATCACAGAATATGACCAGACTTGAAAGAGGGTGTGGATTTTTGTGGTTTTTTTGTTCTTGTTTGTTTCATTTGGTTTTTCTCTCCTTGTTATTAGGAAGTGAGGAGGACGGGGATGCATCTAAAGGTCTTCAGTCACTGTTCACCAGTGAAAATCATAGGCAGTATTATTTATTTGCTTGGGCAATGTAATCTTGCTGCTTGGAACTTCAGAGCAGTCCAGTGATGTGGGAGTGAAGTATTTTGTGCTGCTGCATTGTTTCTGTTACCAAGATGATGATAAGTGCTTTTCTACTGCTGTGGTGTTACATTGCATAGTTTTATTACTTAGCTTGGTTGACCTAATTTAAGTGTCAGCACTTTAGCAGGCATTTACATTTTGAGCTGAAGAATCTTGGCCTCTTGGGCTTCTGGCTTGTGGAGAGTTTTTCCTTGAGGAATATTGACAAGTGTCCAACAGTGGTATTCAAGGAAAATAGCTAAGTTATTTGTAAGAAATGTCTACGTAGCTAAGAGGAAAAGAATGAATTTCTGAACTAGAAAGATATTTGAGATCCAACTTTTTATCATGTTTGTTTATTGTAATTCTTTCTTAGCACTGTATTGAAATTAGGGGCTCTTATAGTATGTAAATGGAAATACATCTTGTAAAGGCTTATTTCATCAAGTAAGCAAACAAGTGGCTGCATGATACTTATTTGCTGACTGGGCTTAAACCACAATAGTAATGGATGTTTCTACTTTGGATTACACATGTAATCTAGGAACAATTTAAACTTGGTGTAACTGCATCAGTAGTAGCCAGGCTGGGTTAGTACTTTCATTGCAAAGTGAGGGTGGCAACTGGCTGTGGTATTATTAGTTATAGGTCACCATCAGTGAATCACTCAGGTTTTAGTTATAAATACCGAGAGAAGGTGGAAGGATTTGATTTTGTCTGCTTTTCACTGTGGGTGGTAAAACCAGAACATTTCTCTTGTTGACCACAGATGCTAGTGACCTAATGGAAACAAACAGTAGTGACAACTGCTGTGGTGGACACAATTTAGGAAACTCTGTTCCACTTAAGCCTCGATGTATTTGTGTAGGTATTTCCTCTCTTTACAGGGCTGTAAGTACAATCTAGAAGCTAGGGCTACGCTTAATACAATGGGGTTGTTTTCTACATCTGCCACAGAGCTGCTATGGAACTTTTGTTAATGCACTTAAACTGTTGGCCAAATTACCACACTTATCTCCCAAGATCAAGTATCTTAATACAAATTGATTTTTCAGATAGGCAGAGGGGTTTTTTTCCTGATTTACTCCAGTGGCATACCCAGATTTATGAGTAACTTCCATATATTTCAGGTGTCTTTGCCTCAGGCTGCCTCTTGGCAAAACCTGGGTTTATACCTGCCTTGCTAAGACATTGGGATCTGTCACAGCATGGGAGTGATGGCAGGTAACATCTGGGAAATTGAGCATTCCAATATAACACTCCAGTGGGTTCCTGCTTCACCTCTGAAAGGCTCAAAAAAGGACCATTTGCTTGAGTGCAGAGGTAGGGCTGGGGAAGCAAAACAGCCTTGAGCTTTCCCTGGTGGTTCCCGGGGCTGCAGTAGCTCTAGGCTAGTTTTGATGGGTGCTTCAGGTGCTGCATTATCAGCCCCTGTCGAGGGAAAAACACTGTGGCACTGAATAACCTGCCTAAGGCTATATGAATGTCAACTGTGGTTGCCTTGCATATCCGTTGCCAGAACCTGGGAGGGATCATTCTTTTGCTTCTTCCTACAGTTCATATGCCAAGAAAATCTTTTGCTCGACAGGTGTGGGTCCTCTAGTATATCTTTTCACTACTCCAGATTTATTGGCTGGCATATAGAACTATTCTTCTAAAACTTCTATAAAGCTGACTTTAAAAAAAAATAATTCCTCTTCTCTGTTTAGAATTGGCATTGTTGCACATTGGTAATAACAGGTTGGCAAAGCTTTTTCTTCCCTGAGAACGTTTTCAGATTGTTTGAAAAAGGCAAAAATATTGCTATTGTTACAATTATTTAATAACATAAGAAAATTACAACCAGGTCTTGGAACAGGAATACACTGGAAGATATCTTCTTTCTTTTTTTCTTAAGTAATTTTCCAACATGGTGAAATTCCATCTCTTCTAAGTTAACTTTCAAAATCTAAAACCAGATCTGAAGTCGTGCAACTGTTTCAGATCAGTCATAAATTCAGTATGATCTTCATTCAGGTATAAAGGGACATAATGGAAACTTGCATGCAATGAGCTTAACTGTTAAATGGCTATAGCTTATTTTAGACTACTTTTGTTCTGATTTTTGAGTATTCTATATTGATTGTGCTATTTTGTGTATCTGGGAAAAAGAGCCCACTTGCGTAGGCCAAGTTGCAAAACTGGAGCTGATAGGCTGTGTTTTGTAAGTAAACTAACAACAATTGTTATGTGAGTAAACATATTTGAGGCAAAGATATATTGCCTTGTCAGATATACTTATTTTCTGTAAACTGTAATTGCAGTCTGCATTGAGCTTATTCAAGCCAGCAAGTCTGGAACAGCTCATCACGTGTTACATGCTCTTAATCAAAGCCAAACACTGAAAGAAAGGAAATGTTTTTTTGAGTTCTCTTGAGAATTATTTATTTTACCTTCAAGTCTACATTTAAATAGTGAAGGAAATTTTCATCCTATGCTACACGGGAAGTTTTGTGAAAGTATATTTGATGATATGATAGGTTTAATTTAGGAATAAAACATCTGTTTTACGCAAAACTGGTATTTAAACCTTTTTTTTTTTAAATTAGAGAAATGGGAAAGGTATTTCACAAGAAAAATGCTTCATCATTTTGTTGAATAGTGTTTTGATTATTTGGATACAGAAAGACACCCCATTTATTAAAAAGACAGGCTGTTGGCAGCTCGACATATGTTTTCTGAGTGTGATGCCTCTGAGTTTTATATTCAATAATGTATGTAAGCTATGATTCTGGTCATATTTTTCAACAGAAAGGCAAAC